ATAAAGATGATATACAAAAAGAAAGGTTTCGAGATAGCTGACTAGTCTGCTTCTCCTATAGCTGTCACCTCCACTATAGCTGCATTTAGTATGACTGTTCCTCACTTTGGCCATGTTGGGCCAGCCTATTCTCCTCACTAACTGGAGAAGCTCAAGTCAGGAGAGGCAGTGGCTGTGATGTTTATGGGAGTAGACTCACTCATCCTCTTCACCATACCCCTTGGTATAATTCCTAACATCTAAGGAATACTTCTGTTCCTTTTTGTCATCTTTCCTTTTATCTACCTTCAACACAGAGCTTAGGGAGGTGGGAGGAGGGACTATACCACCACTCAAGCTGGGGTTTGCATAATATGTTTATCCCATTTCATGTTGCTTGTATTGGCGAGTATTTAATATATTGTCACCTGGTGAAGTTCATAAAGAAGCTCTGAAGACTTCTGAAGAGATTCTGCTGTTTATTTTGATGTTGCTAATCTGCAATTGATGTGGGGATTGACAACATGCAAAATTAAAACAGCAGGTGTGTGTGCTACTGAGAGGAAGACCTGTAATGAAGGCCATTAGATGACAGCAAGCAGTAGAAGCGTGTTAATGTGAGGGTAAAGAACAGAAAGACACGAGGTTGTTCCAAGAATGTCTTTCACTATGAAGATCTTCATCCAAGAAGAATCCTAGGACAAAAAAGTGATTAATTTTAAATTATACTTGACAGATTATTGAAAGTATTGTGTGATGTGCTTGTTGAATGATCCAAGAAAATTTTGAGAGAGCTCTATGAAAATGATCTGTGACCACTTGGGATAACGCTGCCTGATCAACAATGCTAACACATTGGCATTCATGAAGTTGTGGAGTTTTAAGGTCTTTATTTGAGGGAGTGGTGCAGCCTGATCCAAAATGCTGTGTATGACCATGTTCTTTGCAGCTTGTAGTTAAGGTTGTGGAACTGGAGGGGATTCTGCCAAAAGGCCTTGCTAATGATGAGATGATTTATTTATTCATTTGGCTTCTGAGGAGAAGGGGACATTGGGACTGTTTAGTGTGGTGTTCAGGCCACCAAGATGGTCAGGGGCTGGGGCACTTGTCCTGTGAGGGGACCTGAGAGTCTTGGGGGTGGTTCTGCCTGGAAAAGAGATGGCTTTGAGGGCACCTGACAGCAGCCACCCAGCCTGATGAGGGGGGAGGTCACTGAGGAGAAGGACTCTCTGAAGTGGTGTGTGGTGGGAGAAATGATGCAACCAGCACAGACTGGAAAAAAAAAAAAGAGAGAGAGAGACATTTGGACAAGGGAGAAGGAAAGATGCTCCCAGTGAGGATGTTTAATTAGCAAGACAGGCTGCCCAGGGAGACTAGGCTGTCAAGGCCAGCCTGGATAAAAATGAGTGGCCTGGTCCAGCCTCAGAGCTGACCCTGCCTGGAGCAAGGGGTGGGATTGCAGACCTCCAGAGGCCCCTCAACATGAATCATCCTACAATATCCATAGATACAGATAATCCATAGAATTATGGATTCTAACCAAAGAAATAGCTAGAATTTCTTTCTATGTCAAAGAAAATTACTAACTGCAAATATAAGGGAAGTGTTGAGAATAAGTTGATAACAACGTGAGAGCAACCCAAGAGTGTGAACTGAAGTGGTTTGTTTTCATTTAGAATGAATTTTTTAAAAATTGCAGGATACTTCCAGTTTGATGCTACTGATCTGAGTAGCAGCACAGACTGAACTTGGCTCTCATAATTGTTTGTCATTTTAAAGAGTTCAACAGGGACCTACTAACAACCTCAATTGCCTATTTTAGTGATATGTAAAAATACCTCTGAGATATCTTTGGTTTTAGGTAGCCTCACAGTAAAAAAAATGTCATTGGCATTGTAGTGTGATGTTAGGAGTGTAGCTTCTTGAGGGTGCCTTTCTCAAGAGTACTGTATCTACATGGACCCAGTGATCTGTTTAGCTCTGTTGTGCAAGAACAAGTGTGTGTTCTACAATTCCCATGTGGAACTGCTATAAGTGTATTAAAAATTAATTATTTGTGAAATCTTGTATTGCTTTTGAATAGCTAAAGTTGAGATATTTTGAAGATATTGCATGTTTTTCAGCTCCCTTGATAAACAATTAGTTTTATATAGGAACTTACTTCTATGAACATGAATATAAGTCTAAGTTAAAATAGTGATTTTTCAGCAAATGCTAGTGAATATTAGTATTTTAGTTCAGTTTACTGTCAAAGGAACTAGCGTTAATAAGTTAACACTACCTCAATTAGTTACCTACACTATGGTTTTAAGCAATCCAGAAGCTGGCTATGCTTGCTTAATTGAATTCCTGGCTTGTTGTTACAGGTCCCTCATGACCATGATTCAAATTTAGCTCAGCTGCAATTTTTCTCCCCTGGCATTACCAAAAGCTAACATTTGGATTAGCCTGAGTATTATGCTTACTGTTTTTCATGTATGATTTAAAAATAAGTGCACATCAATGAGTATTTTATAGCACAATTTCTTGACTACATTGGGGAAATACAATTCCAGACCTTCTCTGATGGAAAAAAGAAAAACTCAAGAATAAATCCAGAGTTGGCTAATGAACCAAAAAATATAGTGCAAAATGTAGAGACGGTTTGAGAGACAAATACGTATCTTGTTGGGAACTGTGTGGTGTAAGAGTTGAATAAAACATTATTACCTGATAATGATATAAAATTAATATAACTTCCTAATGGCGTTCTTTTACAGGAGTATTATAATAGTGGATGTGCATAAAACTGCTCTTGTGGGTTTTTTGTAGTGTTTTATGGTATAAATGATTAAGGTATTCTGTAGACGTCTAAGGTTATGTGTTAGCCTGAGCTGTAGCAACAGGTCTGATTTTGTAGAACATAATATTTGAAATATAGTATTAATGAGAGCCTTATTTGTACAATTATTGTTTAACTTGAAAGATAAAATTATGCCATGGCTTCTCTAGTTGTCACGGCTGATTGATGCACAGCAGCCTCCGGCTGGAAGGAGGTTTTCATTGGAAGTGACAGGTGCCACAAGGTTTATTTAGGATAACCTCAACCTTGTCCTGGTTGGTTTGATAACATTTGCCTTATGTATGTTCAACCACTGCATTTCCTGCGTTAGAGCCTTGTGTTACACCAATATTACTATCTGTGCTGCCTCAACTACAAATTGGATGAACAGCCAGTGACACTTTTTCAATATTATTACATTAAACCAAGTGGATTTTGATTGATAACCTAATATTCAACTAATGCAAAACATCAATCATGGCAAGTATATTAATTATTTAATATTGCAGTCTAATTCAGAAATCGATGTGCTGCATGAGGGGAAGGGAAACTCACTGTTCCCAGAAGACTTAAGACAGGGAATGATTAAAAAAAAAAAAACAACCCTGCTGTACTCCTGTGTGTTAGTTCGATACAAATCTTTATTCATTTGCCAATAATCTCTTCGCATTTTCCACTTCAGGACCTTTTTTATCAGTTTTGAGACCTATAATTGAATTAAGGCTGCTTTCAGCACAGGGCAAAAGGAGTTGCACAAATATTGATGAAGTCGTGCGAGGGACAGGGCAGGAGACAGCCCACTAACAGGGCAGGTTTCATCCCCTGAGCTGAGAGCTCCTCGCATCAGCTGCTTGGATCCTGCTTCCAAAGTAATTAAATTCTTTAAGACCATTTAGCACCTCAAAAATAGATGTGGAAGATGATTTCTATTTAAGTACCGAATAATAAGTTCTTGTTGCAAAATAAAAAACACTGATGTAAGGAAAAAGCATGTTTTTCTCTTGCTTTATTCATGGTATATTCAAGTGGAACAAAAGTGCATAAGAGACTTATTTTGAAAGCTTTATGAAATTATGAGTGAATCTTTCTGTAAAAAGTCTAAAATACAGACCAGAAAGGCTGTAAAATGTGTAGTTGAATGCAGCCTTATTTGGTATTTAATAGCATTTCATACTTTCCTTCACATTTTGCCTCACACAGCCTGGCCTAAGTATTAAAGAGTATGGAAGACTCAGCCTTGCACAGTTTGCTGTCGTAGAGGAACCTAGTTGGGCTTTATGCTCCTGTGGTTTGATATAGTTGAATAATTTGTTGAAAAATTAATATTATAAATATAAACACATGCTAGACTATATAGTTCAATAACTGATTTCCTGTAATACCCGTGGGGCAGTTTCTCCTTGTTAGCCATGGTTACAGCCCACCTTCCTCTAAGGACATGGTTCCAGTTTGGGAAACAGGTAGAACCTGGAGTCAGTGACAGCAGAAACCAGCCTCCTCGGGTAGTGTCTTGGGATTTGAGGATTATATATTTTTTTTAATTTATCTTGCTTTGGTTTTCTTTCACACTATCTTTTTTTTACCTAGCAGGATGTGTTGATTTTCCTCTGAATTCTCTTGCTTTGCAGTATTTTTACTTTGATAGTTTGATCAATTTTTTTGTACCTGTCTTTATGCGATGTTATTTTTGTGTCTGTACATTTCTAGTTTTTTCAGCTGTCAGGAGCAAAATGCAAAGTTTCAGTATGGCTGCCATGACCTAGTTAGTTAATATACGATTCATTCATTCCAACACTTTTTTAAGTAGTCACAGAATTTTATTACTGGAAGTATTGGAAAAGCAGAACTCTGAGCCACTGAATGTGCGTTTGATAAGTAGCATTACCCACTGTCTTGTTTTATTAATTCAAATGTGAATAGAGGGGTAACGATATTAAAATGCTGGGGTTTAAGTGAATGTCCTCTTGCATTGCTACAGTTTATAGCAATTTCAGGGCAGGTGAAATTTGAGGTTTTAAATGATTCTCTAGTCATGCATTAGGATAATCAATACTTTTTAGGTATTGTGATGATTAAGATATTAAAAGTAAAATTTTTACACACTCGAGAAATTACATGGCTTTGGCATTTCTGAGTTAAACATAAATCATTGTAGACAAGGGTTTAGCAACTATTTAGAACTTTTGTTCTTCTGTTACAGGGACTCTGGAAACATCAAAGCTGGATTAGAACATCTGGTAAGTTTTAATTTTCTCTTGAACATTTGCATCATCTTTGATATCTGCATTCCAAATGAACACTTTTGAATGAGCTTTGAATACCTTGAATTGAGAAAGTCAACCATTTCCCAGAGGGTCAGCTTACTGTTATTATGTGAAGGCACTTACATTTTCATTTATCTTACCATTTCAAGGGAATTTTAATTTTTTTAAATTACTTTTTTTGATGTAGAGATGAAATAAAATGGACTACAATCCTTGGATTGATGATTGCCTTAATTATAAACAAAAATTGTTTGGTGTTGGATTTTTGGCATATCCTGATCTGAAAACAACAAACTTGTGATAAAAAAAAAAAAGACACACACACAATCAAATATTGCATGCATAAATATGGTATGTTTTAGTAATTTGAAGTCTTTGAAAGAAGTGCACAGCTTTGTTTTTTCTCTTGTCTTTGCTTTATGAATAATGTATTGGCTTAAATTCCATTCAGTGCTGCAGTATAAAATAATAATTGAGATGCAAAATATTTTTGGTTTAAGTAAACATATTCAAACCACAAGTGATGGCAAGACATACTTAGCATTAAAAACTAATCAGTTGATCAAAACTGCAAAAAATACAATATTGTCACCAGTCTGAACCTCATTGAGCCTAGGATGTTAGTATCAGCAATCATCAGAACGTTAAGTAGTTCATCTAAACAGATTATTAAATCCCATTAAATCAAAATATTCACTATTAACAGCATGTATATCTCAGTACATCATGAGAAGTGTTTAAGTTCATGCTTAATTTTTCCACATAATATCTTAATAATATATACTGTTCTATACTGCTATTAAAATAAAATTTTATCACAATGTATAGCATGAGCATTTGAAAAAATTGCTTTTCTGTTGATGCTTCCCATTTTGGGAATCACTTGGGAAATATGATTTGTAGGAGCTTGTGTACCAATATCTTCTTGGAGTAACAGCGGATAAAAAGGATGTATATTCTGGCATAGTTGTCAACAGTTTCCCCTTTATAATGGTGGCATATTAAATGTTCCATTGCAACTAGTATTTTGAATCTGTAAATGGAATAAATAGCTGAGTGTTATGAATAGTTCTTAGAGCAGTTTGAAAATTAATCTTGTTTGCTAGCTTCATTGGTACCTTGCATGCTAGTTGAATCTCTTAAATAAATTTTTAAAATGTTTCATTCCTCTGCTGGTGTCAGGTAGTTGTAATCTGATGGGTTCAGAGAATTTTTCTAATGCATTATAAAGATGCTGTAGTCTTGACAGATGACCATGACTGGTACTTTTTCTAAATTGGGAGTGCTGCAATAGCTGGAGCTGCAGGTCTGATTTATAATGTCACCTCAAACCAGGAGGTGCCGAAGGAAGAGGCTCTATGGGTTTTGAGTAGCCTGGGGCGGGGGAGGTGGACCTGGAATAGCATTCACTGGTGTTCAGGGCTTCTCTGGGGTCCGGGGGGAGAGATTCTCTGCGTGGTAATGATACCTTAAGTTCTTTACAGGGTAGCTCCCTGTATGTTTGAGTAAAATTTGGCTTCATTAAATACATTAGCAGCTTTGTATTTCTGTGAAAGATCTGTCAAAAACCTCCAGGTTTCAGACATTTTTCCTTTCCCCTGTGATCTTAGAAAATATGTCCTGGGAATGGGTACTCAAGGCTGTTTCCCAAGATACTCACAGGTGAGAGTGTGCATGCTGGAAACTGGTTTATATCTCAACTTTATGTCAGACTTTTTGGACTCCAACAAATTACAGGGATATTCCTCAGAAGAATTAAGCCACGTGATTGCTCTGGTTCTACTATTTTGTGTTATTGCATCTCCAAATACTTGTAAGGAACTTTTTACCCCTTAAGAAAAGTCTTTATATTGATTTGGTAATCTGTTATTTAATCCCTTCTGTAAAAAAGGGTGTTTTACAGCTTGTGATGGAGTCTTTATAGGGTCTGTATGTTCCCTTTAGGTTTTTCTGCATATGTGTCCCATTCACTTGATTGCAGCCTATTTTACTGCTTACCCTTGTTGAAGTAGCTTCTGCCCTCCTGCTGTCTAGCACCCAGCTGCACACGGGAGTGAAAGAAGGTAGTATAACACCTGCTGTTGAAAAATTTGGTAAATATTTTACAAATTGTTATTTGGAAATACTTCCAATTTAAAAACAGATGCTTTTATAAACAAAAATACTTACTTTGTAGATTGCAGAACTTCGGAGCAGGGTCATGTGCCTGTTTCTCAGTGGAGTAGAGCTGGCCCTCTGGGAGGAGCTGGGCTGGTCACTGCTGACCAGCTCCACTCCCTGCTGGCCACTGATCGCTCTATCTGCTCAGAAGCATTTCTTTTTATAGCTAGTTAAGAAAAGAAACTTCCAAGTTCTCAGCATAGAGGAATTCGTCTTGTATTCCAAAAAATGTTGGCGGTAATTTGCTAAATTATACTTGGCTAATTTCTTTCCCCAGTAACAAACTTTAACGAACTATAGAAATCTTGGAATAGATGACTATATATCTGCAGCTCTGAATAGGTCCTGTTTTCTATTAATAGCTCCACTAAAAAAGAACCACGGAGCCATACGTGTGGTTTATTCATTAGAGGTACCTTATTTGTGTCTTTTGTATAACATTTCAAAGCAATAACCTGCTTGTCCTTGTGGTCAAGCAGCAGAGTCTGTCCGTTTGAAATGATGAAGAGCAACCTGTCATTAATAGCTTGTTTAGCCCATCAGCGGTTTGTAAGAATATAGTTCATGTCTGCCAAGAAAGCAGGCGCTCCCTGTGCTGTGTGTTAATCAATAACCCCCAGCAGGTGCGGATGAAGCTCCTGCAAAGCCGCCTGTCGCAGTGCTTGTGCGTAGCGCTGCCAAGGAAGCTGCTGGAGTTCACTATTCACACTTTTAGTTGCACCCTGTGTCATAGGTAATTTGTATCAAGGTCACTAATTTGTAACTAATACTGGTTAACTCCATCTGGCAGCTCTTTGGTTTTTTTTTTAAGAGGTGCTTGGTAGCAAAATTGGCACAAACGATCAACCAACTAAAAACACCCAGCAAAAAACCTAACCCCAATCAGAACAGAAAAACCCCCTTCTTCATCCAGAAAGTATTAATACTTATTTACTAGGTATAACTTTTTTTTTCTTGGAGCTTGATTTCAATGATTGACTTCTCACTGGCGGCGTTTCAGACTTCTGGTGATTACAGCTCAGTGGTCCTAGTATGGCTACTGGACAGCAATGTCTAATAGAATTGTTGGCTTTCTAATGAGCTATGAAACCAAGCAGCCAATTATTTGTGTTCACAAACAATTAATTAACACTCTTAATATGAGTAATTATGTTTATCTTGGTATCCTGGCACAATTCCATGCTGGTCAATTATGTTCTGCAAGCTTGAATTCTCTCGTATTGAAGAAGTGTCAGGCTGACTGGATGGTTGGGGTTTTTTCCCAATAAAATTGAATTTAATTGAAAACAAGACTTTTCACTTTTTTTTTTTTTTTAAAGGTACTTCTTTCTTACATGTCCTTTAATAAAATGCTAATCATCAAAACCCCCCAAAAAATCCCTTAGGAAAACCACCATGGTGTTCTTGGGGAGTTGTAATTTTCACAAAAACAAGACTTTTCACTTTTTTTTTTTTTTGAAAGGTACTTCTTTCTTACATGTCCTTTAATAAAATGCTAATCATCAAAACCCCCCAAAAAATCCCTTAGGAAAACCACCATGGTGTTCTTGGGGAGTTGTAATTTTCACCCCCATTCTTAGCTTTTGACCATTTTCCCCTGCTGGGTTAGATCAATGATGGGGCACCTCTAGAGAGGGCAGCTTTAGTCCAGGAGATATGAAGCAGCATTAGCGGAGAACAGGAACGTGGTGAGGTACAGTAATGGCAATGTAGCATGGAATTCACCATGGGGACATACTCTCGGGACTTCCACTTTGGTAGCCAGGAGAACCATTTTGTCTCTAGCCCTCCACTTTAAAAAATCAAGGATGGCAGCAACTGGGAAGGCACTTTTTGAGGAGAGGTGCCAGGACTGGTGGTGTCCCCTGCTGAGAGGGACCCCTTGAGTCACTGACCTCGGTAGGCTTTGGTGACTGAAGAAAATGGCTCTCGTTGCTGCCACGGGGGGTGACCGGGGCAGCATCTTAGACACTCACTGTCTTTTAAGCAGCAGCAGACCATCTATTGGAAATCTTTCCAGATACTTCAGAAGGCTTTGGATCAGGTTCATATTAGGTAATCACGCAGCAGAAGATCAATGGCTTATGAATATCCATGAAAAAATACATTCTGTTTGGCTATATTTGCCTACAGGGATGAAATATGGGCTTCTCTGGTAAAGGTTCTCTTTAGATCAGAAGGATTTGTGGAGAACCTATTGTACTGAATATGTATTAAATTAATGTACACACACCACTTCTATTTGTTCTAAATTTTTTATGCTTCTAGCTCCAGATATTAATCAAACAACTCTGGACTTTTTCTAGTATCACGCTACCATGGACAGACTATGTTAATGCAAAAGCATTCAAAGGCTTTGAATAGTTTGTTGTTATAACAGCGACAAATTTTGTATAAACTTTTTAAAAGAACAAAGTTTTGTCTTGTCACTTCCTATTAGCCACATTCTCTTAAACCAGAGCAACTCCACATAAAACAGTACCAGTTGCTTTAATGTCTTTGTGTCTTTATTAAAAAGTAAACTTTGATCATTCTCATTTAATAATATAACAAAGGTGGCTCCCCATCAGAGCCTCCCTCTCCGCTCCCCGTGGCAGAGCTCCGTGTCGGTGGAGCTGTGCCAATAACAGTGACCTTCTTTCCCTCTGACCTTTGTGCCTTTTTTTCACTTTCTGATCCTTTTCATATTTACTCCATAAATTTGTTTGACTACTATTTCATGTTGTAATTTTTAAAAGGCAGATCAGAACATAAATGTTTCAGTGTTGCCGACAGATTATATGAATGATCAGATGAAGTAAATAACACTGTAA